TTTTAGGACTGGTATGATCACATTTGAACATTTTACCCTTTATTTTTCTTCATTTTATGTTCACTTTGCAGCACTTTGGAACCTGCTTTGTTTGTAAAATGTGCTATTAACGTGGATTTAGATTAGGATTGACCTTGAAAAACATGCATTCTCACTGTGAGCGGGCTTGCCTCCTCACAGATCTGACCTGTAAGTTCAATTTTCAAAGAGAAAAAAAAAAAGTAAAAGTAAAAGAGAAGGATCATAGTGGGACTCAGGAACTGTCCGTGGTGCTGAAACAAAGCAGTACATGGTATGGGGTGGATGGATGGAAATACAGTTTTCTTTAATAAATAATTAGTGTCTATATCCCATATTTCAGGGGTCCCCAACTGTCAGGGACCAAAACCGGGCCACGGGTTCAGTAAAATATTACAGTTTTAGGATGTGTGTTCTATGTCCGCGTGTGATACTATAAAAATGTAGAGTCAATTTAAAGAGGTGGTATTCTGCAAAATTGACTTAGTATAATGTTGTTTCTTTATACTTGAACAGGTTTTAGATGTCATCCATGCACGTCTGACTAATCTAGCGATCTCTCCTGGGCCCTATTCAAACCCTCCTTATAGTTAGCAGGAAGATTCTGTACAAAACTCAGCACAAGTGTAAGACTCACCCATGCTCCACATTAGAGAGTGGATCAGGTCAAATTTTTTAGTCAGCTTGGCCTGCGTCCGACAGAGCAGTGATCGAATCTGACCCGAGCCCAACACAATTAAAATCACACTATTTTCATAAGTCCTCTAATGAGACACATAGGATATTATTTGTTCCTCTAATGGACACACAGACACAAAATCGACAAATAGAACAAAAATAATAAGAACTCTTTACTGAGTAATAAAATCTTGAGTACCTCTCGTAAAGTGGTACATTTAAAGTGCAGCGTCTCATCTACATTTCATTCTTATCCGGGGCCGGGTTGCGGGGGCAGCAGTCTGAGCAGGGACTCCCAGACTTCCCTCTCCACACACACTTCCTCCAGCTCCTCCAGGGGGATCCCGAGGTGTTCCCAGGCCAGCCAAGAGACATAGTCCCTCCAGTGTGTCCTGGGTCTTCCCCGGGGCCTCCTCCTGGTGGGACATGCCCGGAACACCTCTCCAGGGAGGCATCCGGAACAGATGCCCTCCCCTGAGCTGGCTCCTCTCAATGTGGAGGAGCAGCTCTATTCCGAGCTCCTCCTGTGTGACTGAGCTCCTCACCCTATCTCTAAGGGAGCGCTCAACCACCCTGCGGAGGAAACTCATTTCGACCGCTTTTATCCGCGATCTTATCTTGTCCTTTTGGTCATCTTGTCTCATCCACATAGACATTGTCCTCCTCAAATAATGACATCCAGTCTACAAAACTGCTCTGTGAATCTAGTTGGAGGTGCTATTTAAAACCACTTACCATCCACCCGCCCGCGGGCAGGCGATTTTCCAATAAAAAATGTTCACTCTGTATATTCACCTTCATTATTGTTTTCACTACTGGCATGCCATACATCGATTGAAAGCTTAATTTCTCAATAAAACAACCATATCATTCATTTTATGCCGTACAACGAGCCCAAAACGCTATAACTTAAAAAATCACATCATAATCAAAGAATAAGATACGTGTTTCTTAACTTTGAGCTGGTTCTGTCGGTCCAAAATGCGTTCAATCCATGAAAAGTTGTACTCAATAAATTCATAATAATCCACAGAAAAAGAATATCAAGTTGTTTTTTCCATAAAATAATTCCATGTGGGTAAATAATCCAGAAAATCCTCGTCCGTATGAATGGATGAATGCGTGAATAAAAAGATATATTGCCTTTCTGAGCCTTCTCCCTCTCTGAGTTCCGTTTCTCTTGGCGCTCTTGGGTGCGCTTGTTTTCCTCACACTCTTAGCTTCAAAATGAGACCCTCCCCGCTGTTGTCGGTGGCGGGGTTTAGGTGGGACAAGCCGCTGAAGAAGCTAACGCACCCATCTACTTCCTGGCTTTACGCATGCGTCATCAGTTTGTTTACGGGAAATCTCTTCAGTCATTGGATCTTCCAGAAAGTGATTGACATATTGTTTTAGCCTATCAGCAGAGCTTTCAAACGGTGGGTGGGACGTGCAGATGGTCTTTGAAACAGGCGCTGTGTTTACAGGCGCCACAGAGAGGGACACAAGAAGCGGTTCGGGAGGGGCCCTATTGGGCAGATCTGCCACTTGGAGGACAATTTTGGCTACTTTTAGTTTTTTTTCTTGAGAAAACATGCCTAAAGTTCAGAAGAATTAGTATTATAATAATAGCAATTATTATTATATTATTATTATTATTATTATTATTATTATTATTATTTTGGCACAAATTTGGCAATCTTGTGCCGAATTGTCATTTTGTTTACACAAAGGCTCACAGCATCAAAACCCTTTGTCCTAGAGATCTGAAATTCTACACAGTTGTTGCCAACAACTTGAACAATGCCTATTTTTTTCAATTGTTTTTTCGAAGCAAAAGAAAATACAATTTTTAATTGACTGTACTGTAGGTTAGGCAACACTCACAGTCTTCATGTACATATCTACAGGCCTAAGCTTTAAAATGGTGCCTCACACAAGCATGTGGGTTCTAAGGTTTTCTTTTAATAAGCTATGGCACTGGGTATGTAGTGCTATTGTGCACACGCCAAAATAGGTGGATGGTAACAGTTTAAAAGTAAAAAGGTGAGTGTAAGAGAATTTAAGTAATTTATCTTCCATGTATATCTTTCAGTTTAACATTGACTCACAAAAACTATATTACTATTATAACTGTACACCATGATCTTCTCTTAGCACATCATTGGCACCATGATCTAAATTGTGGCATGTTTCTGTCTAACCGGTGTTTACTGGTTTTCATAGTTTCACCACACTCGCTTTATAAACCTCCTCCTTTGGAAACAGAGTCAAGGGACTTGAACACTCAAAGATCAAACTATGTTCATTTTTAAAATTATACTATGTTGACTTTTCAACTTCTCCAGGTCTGTATTATTGATGGTAAATAAACTTCTCCTGCTTAAGACTCCAGTTGGTCTCCAGCCTTTTACTTCCACCCTTTCTTTGAACAAGCTGAAAACTTCTACAACACTGAGTTTCGCTCCTCACATGTGTCTGTTTACATCTACACAGTGCACGGATCGAGGTGAAGCTGCAGATTAGTGACAGTGACTCTACTTCCTGTGGACTTAATCTCCAATCTTTTATGCTTTAGAAATCATGTATCTGAAGTTTTGCACCACATTTCACAAACAATAACAGAGTTTTGACTTGTATCTAAACTAGAAGTGCAGAGTCTGATCTTTGAACTTTTAAGAGTCTCAGAGCGAAACAGCTGACGCACTCATGTGCCCGAGTCCAACCCGAACCTGAACTCATCGGGTTTCCACGCTCGATCCCACATGACTTTTAGTTAATAACTATACAAAAACTTGATACAGAACTATACTCTACAACTTCACACTTCACCGATGTGCAGTTGTTTCATCAGTGAGTTACAGGCACATGAGGATCTAAAAATATGATGTGTTTGTGCAGTTAATACCCCAAAGAAATAAGTCTCCCTCTTTAACCTGGTCCACACACTGCAAACATTTATAATTTCTTAAACTAAGGTTGGGGGTTCTGTTCATGCTGAGCTGTTTGAGAGTGAAGAGAATCAAGCACCATAGCGATTAACAATTTCTAACTGGCATACTCCAATCATCTATCATCTAATGAATATGAATGAAACACCTGAAGACAGAACGCTGACACCAACGACACGCTCCAACACCCAGGTGAAAGTTCACTGATAACAGCTCCAATAGTGTGTGTGTGTGTGTGTGTGTGTTTGTTTGTGTACATGTATGTGTCTGTGTGTGTGTGCATGTGTCCGTGTGTGTGTGCATGTCTGTGTGTGTGTGCGTGTCTGTGTCCGTGTGTGTCTGTGTGTGTGTTTGCTTGTCTGTGTGTGTCTGTGCATGTGTGTCTGTGCGTGTGTGTTTGCGTGTGCACGTGCGTGTGTCTGTGCGTGCGTGTCTGTGTGGGTGAATGTCTGTGTGTGTGTGTGTTTGTGTGTGTGTGTGTTTGTGTGTGTGTGTGTGTGTGGTACTGTTGTGTGTGTGTGTGTGTGTGTGTGTCTGTGTGTGTCTGTGTGTGTGTGTGTGTGTGTCTGTGTGTGTGTGTGTGTGTGTGTGTCTGTGTGTGTCTGTGTGTGTGTGTGTGTGCTGTGTGTGTGTGTGTGTGTGTGTGTGTGTCTGTGTGTCTGTGTGTGTCTGTGTCTGTGTGTGTGTGTGTGTGTGTGTGTGTGTCTGTGTCTGTGTGTGTGTGTGTGTCTGTGTGTGTGAGTGTGTGTGTGTGTGTGTGTGTGTGAGTGTGTGTGTCTGTGTAGTGTGTGTGTGTGTGTGTGTCTGTGTGTGTCTGTGTGTGTGTGTGTGTGTGTGTGTGTGTGTGTGTGTGTGTGTGTGTGTGTGTCTGTGTGTGTGTGTGTGTGTGTGTGTGTGTGTGTGTGTGTGTGTGTGTGTGTCTGTGTGTGTGTGTGTGTGTGTGTGTGTGTGTGTGTGTGTGTGTGTGTGTGTGTGCTGTGTGTGTGTGTGTGTGTGTGTGTCTGTGTGTGTGTGTGTGTGTGTGTGTGTGTGTCTGTGTGTGTGTGTGCTGTGTGTGTGTGTGTCTGTGTGTGTGTGTGTGTGTCTGTGTGTGTGTGTGTGTGTGTGTGTGTGTGTGTGTGTGTGTGTGTGTGTGTGTGTGTGTGTGTGTGTTTATAATCTATGACACCAGTGGATCATTATTTTTATATGAAGTAAATCAGTCAAATCCTTCATGTCCAGTGCATGTACGTTTGTCTCTCTTTTATAAAAATCAAATCAATATCATTGCAGTGTATTTCATCAGGTCTGAACAACACATTTGAGGTAAAGAATATTTATTTACACTTATTTACATTTATTTACACGGTACATGGGGTTGAATACCATGCACTTTTAGACCAGGCTCAACCAGGGATGGTGGCTCAGCTGGTCCAAAGGGATCCTCTGGTTTGGGTCCAGTGCCAGACAGGCCCGCAAGAAGTCACTGCACTCTGCAAAAACAAACACACAAGACAAGTTTTACAGTGTACACTTCATAGTTGCTCTTCCCACTGTGAGTTCTTAAGTTCTTAAGTGACAAAACTTCTAGGATCCGTTCTGTAGATACTGTCATTGGTGCAGTGTTTAAGGGTGAACTGTGTCATCTATCTTCTCAAATGAAGGTCCGACATCTTTAATGTTTTATCTAATGACATGAAGACTAAATCATATCTAAATAATGTGTGTGTTTCTCTGCTCGTACCTTGGGACACACCACTCAGACTCAAGAAGGAAATGTATGGAAAACCCTTCATGAAATCTTTTGTGGTGAACCCTTTGTCACTCTTAGAGCGCAGCAGTTCGTGAAGTAGCGCCCCCGTCTGCCACACTGAGGTAGGAGCAGCGCGGTATCCTTCAGTCCCATAGGCCTCAGGAGGTGCATATTCTGGTGTTCCTGAAAACCAAAAAGAAACACACACAAATAAGTAGGGACGTTGAGAGACTGCATGGTGCATCTTTAGTGATCTTGTACTTTAACTACTACTGCTGCTATTACTACTACGTTGGTTAGGAATATTACCTTTGAAACTGTAGAAGGGCTCTGATTGGGCGCCGCAGCCACAGCCAAAGTCTATGACCCTGATCCTTGGGCCAGACTCTGTCGCCTGAACCAGGAGATTTTTCATATTAACGTCTCTATGGAAAATCTGTTTTGAGTCAAGGTCCAGCAGCGCGTTCACCACCTGACGGATCAGCTCCTGCCGGACAATAACAAGAACGTGGATTAGAAAAGTAACTGAAATGTATTACAAATGGCATTAATTATATATGAGATGAAAGAAGAGATGCTGTTCTCTGCTACATCGGCTTATTTACTACTTATTTATGACACCCAAGCGTATGTATATTTTTCCATGTAAGTTTTTTGTTATTTTTTCTGTTTTAGTTTTTTTTTTTTTTTTTTTTTTTGCATACCTTTGCGTGAGCTTCTGTCAGGGGGCCATTCTCCTGATGGTAGTCAAACAGGTCTTGGGATGGGGTGGGTCTCTCCATCACCAGAACCACCTCCTGGCCTTCATCCTGGAGGTACCAGTCGAGCAGAGTCACCGAGGGGTTCAGTCCGACCGAGTGCCGATCTGGAGCAGCTTTGTTCATCAGGACGGCCTCAGAGGGGACGGTCAACACTTCATTTTCAATGCTCTAAAAGAGGAAAATGTAAACAAAACAGATTATTCCACAATCAGAGGCAAATGCAGTGTCAGATATTCCTGGGGTGGTACTAGTGAGTTTTGTTCAATCTGATACAGTAAAACTATGGCAAGTATCACAATATTGATCTGATTCCTATGAGTTATGATCCTTCCCTTATGACTTTTAAATGCACCAACTGAAATATAAACAGTGTCTTTCAAAGTTTTACCAAACATAAATAAAAACAAACTGTGATTTTTGATACCTCCATTAGTTGGGAGGGAATTTGTGAAATATCATGAGGATTGTGCACTTCTGGAAAAGTTTTGGATTTTTAGCAGGGTGTTTAGGTATGGACCTAAGGTTTTTCAAAATCCATGGATACAAGTTGGGGTCACCCCCTAGTGGCCGATATGCATAAAATCCAAAATGGCCCCCGGCCAGGCCTCTAAACCCATATGTGAAATGAAATCAAGTCAAATAAGGTGCAGAAATAGTTTCATGGTTCTATAAAATGCTCCAGAATGTGTTCGACCAAATGTTGAAGAGTCCACTGCAGAATGGAACAGTCCTGGGTCACCAAATTCCGCCGGGGTGCCTCTCCCTTGCTTAACCGGGGAGGGGGCTTTAGAGTGGGTGTACGTGTTCGGGAGGTGCACCAGGTCTTGTATAGAGGAACTGGATTGCTTGTATCAAACAGTAGGAAGTAGAAAGTAGAAAAAAATACATTCTACTACAAAGTAAGACTAAAGGAAGCAGAGATATAACCTTTTCTTGTTTGGACAGGGGCTATTTTGGATTTTATGCACACCGGCCACTAGGACGGCATCACAGCTTGTACCTAACACTCTGCCAAAAATCAAAAACTTTTCCAGAAGTGCACGATTTTGATGAATTCCCTCCAGGCTACATCAGTATTCCTATTTGGTATCAGTCCATTCATCACTAATAGAAAAGAGCTGTGAGAGGTGATAGTAGCGCACAGACTTTTTAGTGGATACTGATGTCCATTATTTGTCTGGTTATTTGATGATACCGATACAACGATTTTAAAATCCATAAAATGTTCCAAAACTACAAAACAACAAAAATTGTCACTTACCACCAGAGAAAATTCCACGTTGTCCCTCTTAATGTGTTTAATGGCCACCTGAAAATCAGACATTAGAACATGATTCTATAATGGAGTCAAGTGAAAATGTGAAATTATAGGGACATTCATAGATGTTATAGATTCTATTCTGAATTTAAAGGTCTCCAGGAAGAAACTCCATCTCTATGGAGACTGACCCTCTACATGAAAAATCACTTGAAGTCATTTGAACTTAGATTAACTGTGCATTTGAAGTTTTGTAAATGATAAAAAGTGTATATTATCTTTACCGACTGTTGGTCTGAGATCCGGACGCCGGCAAACACCGACCCAAATCCTCCCTCTCCGAGCTGCTCATGCTCCTCGTATGTCAGCGCAAAGTCACTCACTGAGTTCATTTTACAAAAAAAAAATATTATTAGTATGATCATCCAATATGACATTACAACACCCATTCACACATAGACAAGGGAGCAAAGTGTCTTGCCCAAGAGCACATTAACAGTATTAGTTAGGTTTAGTTGTAGCTATGATGTATATGTTTCAGTCCTGGTTTGGTCCTAGATTAGTATTTTGGTCCTGTTGTAGTCCTGGTCTAGTCCTGGTTTAGTCCTGGTTTAGTCTTGGTTTAGTCTTGGTTTAGTCCTGGTTTAGTCCTGGTCTAGTCCTGGTTTAGTCCTGGTTTAGTCTTGGTTTAGTCTTGTTTAGTCTTGGGTTTAGTCTTTTTGGTTTAGTCCTGGTTTAGTCCTGGTTTAGTCCTGGGTTTAGTCCTGGTTTAGTCTTGGTTTAGTCTTGGTTTAGTCCAGTCCTGTTTAGTCCTGGTTTAGTCCTGGTTTAGTCTTGGTTTAGTCTTGGTTTTAGTCCTGGTTTAGTCCTGGTTTAGTCTTTTAGTCCTGGTTTAGTCGTTTAGTCTTGGTTGGTTTAGTACTGGTTCAGTCTTGGTTTAATCCTGGTTTAGTCTTGGTTTAGTCTTGGTTTAGTCCTGGTTTAGTCTTGGTTTAGTCCTGGTTTAGTCTGGTTTAGTCTTGGTTTAGTCTTGGTTTAGTCTTGGTTTAGTCTTGGTTTAGTCCTGGTTTAGTCTTGGTTTAGTCTTTTAGTCTGTTTAGTTTGGTTTAGTTTTTAGTCTTAGTCTTGGTTAGTCTGGTTTAGTCTTGGTTTAGTACTGGTTCAGTCTGGTTTAATCCTGGTTTAGTCTTGGTTTAGTCTGGTTTAGTCCTGGTTTAGTCTTGGTTTAGTCCTGGTTTAGTCCTGGTTTAGTCCTGGTTTAGTCTTGGTTTAGTCTTGGTTTAGTCTTTGTTTAGTCTTTGTTTAGTCTTAGTTTAGTCCTGGTTTGGTCCTGGTTTAGTCTTGGTTTAGTCTTGGTTTAGTCCTGATTTAGTCCTGGTTTAGTCCTGGTTTAGTCTTGGTTTAGTTCTGATTTAGTCCTGGTTTAGTCCTGGTTTAGTCTTGGTTTAGTCTTGGTTTAGTTCTGGTTTAGTCCTGATTTAGTCTTAGTTTAGTCCTGGTTTAGTCTTGGTTTAGTCTTGGTTTAGTCCTGGTTTAGTCCTGATTTAGTCCTGGTTTAGTCTTGGTTTAGTCCTGGTTTAGTCCTTGGTTTAGTCTGGTTTAGTCCTGATTTAGTCTTGGTTTAGTCCTGGTTTAGTCCTGGTTTAGTCCTGATTTAGTCTTGGTTTAGTCCCTGGTTTAGTCCTGGTTTAGTCTGGTCTTAGTCCTGGTTTAGTCTTGGTTTAGTCTTGGTTTAGTCTTGGTTTAGTCTGGTTTAGTCTTGGTTTAGTCTTGGTCCTGGTTTAGTCCTGGTTTTAGTCTGGTTTAGTCTTGTTTAGTCTTTGGTTTAGTCTTTGTTTTAGTCTTAGTTTAGTCCTGTTTGGTCCTGGTTTAGTCTTTGGTTTAGTCTTGGTTTAGTCCTGATTTAGTCCTGGTTTAGTCCTGGTTTAGTCTTGTTTAGTTCTGATTTAGTCCTGGTTTAGTCCTGGTTTAGTCTTGGTTTAGTCTGGTTTAGTCAGTCTTGGTTTAGTCCTGGTTTAGTCTTGGTTTAGTCTTGGTTTAGTCCTGGTTTTAGTCTTGGTTTAGTCCTGGTTTAGTCCTGGTTTAGTCCTGGTTTAGTCTTGTTTAGTTTGGTTTAGTTTTGTTTAGTCTTGGTTTAGTCTTTGTTTAGTCTTTGGTCTTAAGTTTGTCCTGGTTTTAGTCTTGGTTTATCTTGTTTAGTCCTGATTTAGTCCTGGTTTAGTCCTGGTTTAGTCTTGGTTTTAGTCTGGTTTAGTCCTGGTTTTAGTCTGGTTTGTCTTTTAGTTCTGGTTTAGTCCTGATTTAGTCTTGTTTAGTTTAGTCTTGGTTTAGTCCTGGTTTAGTCTTTTAGTCCTGTTTAGTCTTGGTTTAGTCTGGTTTAGTCCTGGTTTAGTCCTGGTTTAGTCCTGGTTTAGTCCTTTTAGTTTAGTCCTTGGTTTAGTCCTGGTTTAGTCCTGATTTAGTCTTGGTTTAGTCCTGGTTTAGTCCTGGTTTAGTCTTGGTTTAGTCTTGGTTTAGTCCTGGTTTAGTCTGGTTTTTAGTCCTGGTTTAGTCCTGGTTTAGTTGGTTTAATCCTGGTTTAGTCTTGGTTTAGTCCTTGGTTTAGTCCTGGTTTAGTCTTGGTTTAGTCCTTGGTTTTTAAGTCCTGGTTGTCTTAGGTTTAGTCTTGGTTTAGTCTTTGTTTAGTCTTTGTTTAGTCTTAGTTTAGTCCTGGTTTGGTCCTGGTTTAGTCTTGGTTTAGTCTTGGTTTAGTCCTGATTTTGGTTTAGTCCTGGTTTAGTCTTGGTTTAGTTCTGATTTAGTCCTGGTTTAGTCCTGGTTTAGTCTTGGTTTAGTACTGGTTCAGTCTTGGTTTAATCCTGGTTTAGTCTTGGTTTAGTCTTGGTTTAGTCCTGGTTTAGTCTTGGTTTAGTCCTGGTTTAGTCCTGGTTTAGTCCTGGTTTAGTCTTGGTTTAGTCTTGGTTTAGTCTTTGTTTAGTCTTTGTTTAGTCTTAGTTTAGTCCTGGTTTGGTCCTGGTTTAGTCTTGGTTTAGTCTTGGTTTAGTCCTGATTTAGTCTGTTTAGTCCTGGTTTAGTCTTGGTTTAGTTTTGTTTAGTCCTGGTTTAGTCCTGGTTAGTCTTGGTTTAGTCTTGGTTTAGTTCTGGTTTAGTCCTGATTTAGTCTTAGTTTAGTTTTAGTCTTTGGTTTAGTCTTGGTTTAGTCCTGGTTTAGTCCTGATTTTAGTCCTGGGTTTAGTCTTGGTTTAGTCCTGGTTTCCTGGTTTAGTCCTTGGTTTAGTCCTGGTTTAGTCTTGGTTTAGTCTGGTTTAGTCCTGGTTTAGTCCTGGTTTAGTCCTGGTTTAGTCTTGGTTTAGTCTTGGTTTAGTCTTGGTTTAGTTGGTTTAGTCTTGGTTTAGTCCTGGTTTAGTCTTGGTTTAGTCCTGGTGTCTTGGTTGTCCTGGTTTAGTCTTGGTTTCCTTGGTTTAGTCCTGGTTTAGTCCTGGTTTAGTCCTGGTTTAGTCCTGGTTTAGTCTTGGTTTTAGTCCTGGTTTAGTCCTGGTTTAGTCTGGTTTAGTCTTTGTCTTGGTTTAGTCCTGGTTTAGTCCTGGTTTAGTCCTTTTAGTCTTGGTTTAGTCTTGTTTAGTCTTCCTGGTTTAGTCTTGGTTTAGTCCTGGTTTAGTCCTGGTTTAGTCTTGTTTAGTCTTGTTTAGTCTGGTTAGTCTTGTTTAGTCTTGGTTTAGTCCTGGTTTAGTCTGTTTAGTTAGTCTTGGCTGGTTTAGTCCTTTTAGTTTTTAGTCCTGGTTAGTTTGTTTAGTCTTGGTTTAGTCCTGGTTTAGTCCTGGTTTAGTCTTGGTTTAGTGGTTTAGTCTTGGTTTAGTCCTGGTTTAGTCCTGGTTTAGTCTTGTTTAGTCTTGGTTTAGTCCTGGTTTAGTTCCTGGTTTAGTCTTGGTTTAGTCCTGGTTTAGTCTTGGTTAGTTCTGGTTTAGTTCTGGTTTGTCTTGGTTTAGTCCTGGTTTAGTCTTGGTTTTAGTTCTGGTTTAGTTCTGGTTAGTCAAGTGTTTAGTCCTGGTTTGTCCTGGTTTAGTCCTGGTTGTTTTGACTCTCGTACCTTCTCTTGGAGCTTCGTATCTAGTTCTGTCGTGTTTCTCCTCCGAGTGTAGATTTTTTGGAGCAGGACGTTTTGGACTCAAGTCAGATTTGACTGAGTCACTGGATTTTCTTTCCTTGGTTTGGAAAAGGCTCAGTCCAGTTGTAAAGACGAGCCTGGAGCCTGTGAAACATCATGTCATTGTTATTACTTGGTTACTACATGTTTATGTGTAAGGATCAAAATAGACTCATGTAAACACACTTCAAACCACAGATGGGTCGTTTCATCTACATTTACTTGAGGAACTTCTTGACAAAAACTCTACCACCAGAGTAGTTTTCTGACTTTTTACTGTTACTTGTGTACTTTTGGATCAGTATTTTCTACTTGTACTTAGTAAAACATTAAAGAGACGATACTCTTGTANTTAATTTAATAAACCAGGGAAATACAAACAACCATGATCCTTTAGCACAGGACACAACTCAGTGGAATATGAGTGTTCTTTGTGTGACAGAGGATGTGCTGATGATGGTGAGTCTGTTCTGTGTGTGTATCGTGGAGGAGATGGTTCATGTTTTAACTTTTCATACGAGGCAGATTGTTCAGCGCAGGTTTATTCATTTCACTGATTATGGTCTTTATTTATGTCACTTTATTTATGTCACTAATGTTGTGATGAAAAGACTGAAACGTGTTTGTCTTTTGCATGTGCACACTTTTTGTTGCAGAAGCGGGGATACTGCGTATACATGCCACAGTATCCCGGTTACTATCGGAATATACCAGTACAGTATCCCGGTTTCTAACTGGGTCTGCCTTATCCGGATACTGAAACAGGGATACTGTGTGTACATGCACCATGACCAAACCTGTACACTCAAAAAAGTCAATTCTAACCAGGACACTGATGTGCTGTAAACTCACTCACTGAGTTCAGCAGAGTTTAAACATGAAGTTCATGAACTTATTACCTGGTCCCCGAAGGGTTGACCAGGTTTTGTGTGTGTGTGTGAGTGTGTGTGTGTGTGTGTGTGTGGTTTATAATCTATGACATCAGTGGATCATTATTTTTATATGAAATAAATCAGTCAAATCCTTCATGTCCAGTGCATGTACGTTTGTCTCTCTTTTATAAAAATCAAATCAATATCATTGCAGTGTATTTCATCAGGTCTGAACAACACATTTGAGGTAATGAATATTTATTTACACTTATTTACACTTATTTACACGGTACATGGGGTTGAATACCATGCACTTTTAGACCAGGCTCAACCAGGGATGGTGGCTCAGCTGGTCCAAAGGGATCCTCTGGTTTGG